AAGATGTAACTACATTGTTATGTCATACAAGTTTCATAAATATCTTCATCCATGTCCTCCTGGACCCATTGGAATTGTGAACTAGTACCAGTAATAGGTCCATCTAAATTTTGTTCTATAAAAGACAAACTTTCTGATCTTGTTTTTATGTAATCTCTACCTCCATCCCCGATGTCTATCAAGTCTCTAGGGGTGTTATGAAGTAAATGTACCAACCCTATTTAATTAGAATTAATTTATGATTTAGAGAAAATAATTTATTGTTTAATTATTTTAATATATAAGTATAAATTGTATATATTTAGAAAGGTTCCATGACCTTCATTTCTTGGGCCTAGTTCTATATATTTGAAGGGTCAAGCATTAGTACTACAACAAAATGAAAGTCACATCAACATGATTAAGATTAATTTAAAAATATATCTGAATATGATGCCGCTAAAGAAAATGCGTAATTTGATAGGTAGAGCTCTTGGTCTTTTATCAACCCTCTTTCAAGCATTAATGATTTGTCCGATCAATTGAAAGGAGAAGCAATTTTTTCTAAGATAGATCTAAGGACGGGGTACCATCAATTAAAGATTAAAGAGGCTGATATCTCAAAGACAGCTTTTCGGACGCGGTATGGGCACTATGAATTTGTAGTGATGCCATTTGGTTTGACTAATACACCAGCAGAATTCATGGATTTGATGAACTGATTATTTCAACCATACTTGGATCAATTTGTGGTGATATTTATAGATGATATATTGGTATATTCCAAGTCAAGAGAAGAACATGATGCTCATCTTCGAGTAGTTCTTCAGACACTCCGCGAGAAAAAGTTGTATGCCAAATTATCAAAGTGCGAATTTTGGTTAGCCGAAGTTGCTTTCCTGGGCCACATAGTCTCTATAGAAGGCATAAGAGTAGATCCAAGAAATATCCAAGCTATTTTGTGGTGTCATTTTCCTGGATGGAGAAATGTCAAGAAATCTTTGAAAGGCTCAAGAGAATTGTAACAGAGGCCTTTGTACTTGTACAACCTGAGTCGGGAAAAGACTATGTTTTGTTTAGTGATGCATCCCATAATGGACTGGGGTGTGTTCTGATGCAAGATGGAAAGGTTGTGGCTTATGCTTCAAGACAGTTGAAGAATCAAGAGAAAAATTATCCGACGCACGATTTAGAATTGGCAGTAGTTGTGTTTGTACTGAAAATCTAGCGTCATTATCTGTATGGTGAGCGGTGTCATATTTACACAGATCACAAGAGTTTAAAGTATTTATTGACTCAAAAAGAATTCAACTTGAGGCAAAGAAGATGGATTGAGATTCTAAAGGATTATGATCTGATTATCGATTATCATCCCGGAAAGGCGAATGTGGTAGCAGATGCACTAAGCCGAAAGATTTTTACCTCTTTACATGCCTTGGATGTGCATTTGTCAATAAAGAATGATGGTGCCTTAATTGTTGAGCTTAAGTTAAAGATGATGTTTTTATATGGGATTAAAGTTCTATAAAGTCAAGGTGAGAAATGTTTGGAGAGGTTGGAACAAGTTGTAAAGAATAAGACCAAAGACTTCGAAATAAGAGTGGATGAATGTCTATATTATAGGGGAAGACATTACATTCCCGATAATGATGACTTGAAGAGAGATATTCTTTATTAAGCACATTATAGCCCATTGACGATGCATCCAGGAGGTACTAAGTTGTATCAAGATTTAAAAGTCGTTACTGGTGGCCTAGCATGAAAAGAACTATCACAGAGTTTGTTTCCAAATGTTTGACATGTCAGTAAGTGAAAGCTAAACATCAAGTGCCATCCGGGTTACTACAACCAATAACCATTCCTGAGTAGAAGTAGGAGCGGGTTACAATGGATTTTGTTTCGGGGCTACCTTTTTCACCGGGTAAAAAGGACTCAATATGGGTAATAGTAGACAGATTGACCAAGACGACTCATTTTATCCAGGTTTGAGTGGATTACCCGATGAATAAGTTTACGAAGTTGCATATAAAGGAGATAGTTAGACTGCATGGAGTGCCGATATTAATAATGTCTGATCGAGACCCAAGATCTACTTCAAGATTCTAGAAGTCTTTGCATGAGTCATTGGGTACTCGATTAAACTTCAGTACAGCTTTTTATCCGCAGAAAGATGGACAGTCAGAGCAAGTTATTCAGATACTAGAGGATATGCTAAGGGCATGTGTGATTGAGTTTATGAGATCATGGGAAAGGTATTTTCCTTTAGCAGAACTTGCGTATAACAATAGTTATCAATCAAGTATTAAGATGGCCCAGTATTAAGCTCTGTATGGGAGAAAATACATAACCATTAAATTGGTTTGAATTAAAAGATCGGGATTTGATTGGCCCATATTTGATGAATGATATGGAGGATAATGTGAAGATTATCCAGAGCAATCTAAAGATATCCTCAAATTGACAAAATTCATATGCAGATTTAAAAAGAAAAGAAATAGAATACGAAGAGGGAGACAAAGTATTTTTGAAAGTATCGCCTTGGAAGAATGTATTGCATTTTGGGGAAAAAGGAAAGCCGAGTCCAAGATTCATTGGACCGTTTGAGATATTAAAAAGGGTTGGACCCGTAGCTTATCAATTAGCTTTGCCTTCAGTTATGGATAAGATACACAATGTTTTTCATGTGTCGGTGCTCAGAGGTACATATCAGATCCCTCTCATGTTATCACGCCTGAACAAATAGAAATCCGATCAAATTTAACTTATGATGATGAACCAGTGCAGATCTTGGTCAAGGAAACCAAAGAATTACGTAACAAAAAGATTCCATTGGTTAAAGTGCTTTGGCAAAATCATAAGGTAGAAGAGGCTACTTGGAAAAGATATGAGGAGATGAAAAAGCAGTTTCCACATTTATTCGTTTCAGGTACTTTTTTAAATTCGAGGATGAATTTCCTTAAGAGGGGGAGAATTGTAATGCCCCGAAAATTTAATTAAGGACTTGCTTGAAAGGATTTAAAATTTGAGAATCTATTTGATTAATTGATAAAGATGAGAATGATTTGGGAATAATAGTTTAGACTAAATTGTAGTAATGGAGGATTAAAAAGGGCATTTTGCCTATTTGGAATAAAATGAATTTAAAATTCATTTTATATAGTATATTAAAGTAAAGAGATAAAAGGGAAAAAGCAAAGTCAACTCTTCTCTTCTTCCTCTTTCACGTGAGAAGCTTTCATCCTAAGCTAAAGATCAGAACCAAGCTCCTGAATCTAGAAGATAAGGGAGAAAGATAAAGTTGTTGATTAGTCATAAGTCTCTACACTTTATTAGTGGAGATTACAAGGTGAGTATCTTGTTGTAAGTATGTAAGAGAAAGAACATTCAAATTAGAATGTTTAAATTCCTATATGTTTTTATATGTATGAAAAGTGATTTTTATATGTATGAAAAGAATATTATGAATGAATTTTTAAGTATGAACTGCTCTAAATCGATTTCATAATTAAAATGCATGAACGGGTGCATTAAGGCATGAAAGGATACCAAAACTAAAATGCATGAACAAATGCATTAAGGCATGAAAGGATGTCATAATTAAAATGCATGAAATGATGCATTAAGGCATGAAAGGATGCATTAAGGCTTAAAAGGATGTCATAATTAAAATGCATGAAATGATGCATTACGGCATGGAAGGATGCCATAAGTAAAATGCATGAAACGATTCATTAAGGCATGAAAGGGTGCCATAAGTAAAAGGTATGAATGGATGTCATAAGTAAAAGGTATGAATAGATGTATTAATTTATGAAAAAAGACCATGACATTATGAATAAAATGAACTAAAGAAAAGTATGTTGGACATACTAAAGTTGGTTATGAGGATAATATGACCGAGGTTTGGTTGTAATAAGTATGATTTAACTAATTCCTATGGATGATACAACTAACTTTGAAGTCAAATAACCATGAGATACTTATGTATACTTTAATGTTCTTTACCCTATCTCACTAAGTAAACGCTTAACATGTGTTGTTTCTTACGCGTAGGTAAAAGCAAAGATTAACTGAGTAAGGAGTGTTTCTGTAGCTGTGGTGATCATCAACTAAGGTGGACTCATCCGTGACACAAGACAATCTTGTTTATTTTGTAAAACATAGTTGGCATGTAATCACAATATTAAAATGCTTTTAACTTTAATTAAGTAGAACTTATAACAATTTAAATCAATGTTTGTTTTATATTAAAATGTTAATGTTTTCAGAAAATGAAAGAAAAAGAAAAAATTAATTATTTTCGAGATTTTCAAAGGAAGAGTTATTTTAAGAGTAGTGTGACATCTGTATCTCGTGTACAGAAGGATATACGGGAGATAAGTGTTACAATTACCTTAAAAAAAGTGTTATTTGGGCAGTCTTTATGCCCATTAAGTGTTTTTCAGCATACTCTCAAAAAATGCGAATACACAATTATGAAAACCCCTAACTATTAGTAGTACAAAATCTCAACAAAGAAAACACCATAACCAATTACAACATACACACCAAAGAAGAAGGAAACAAAAACAAACGGAAAACTGTGAGCTCTCCAATCAAAACAAAATATCATATGAAAAAGAAAACAAAGTCATCTAGACAAAAGCTGAAAACACCTAATCGATATGAACAAACCAAATGAATTAATTATATAAAAGAAACCAAAGCAATGAATTTAAACAAAGAAACGAGGAAAACACAATTAAGAAAGGTCTAGTGCTTCCCTAGGAAAATTACCACTTACTGGAATACATAGGATTTGAAATGAACAAAAGAAAGGTCTAGCCGAGTTTATAAAATTACGAGTTGAATCAGTACAAGTCGAATTTTTTCAAATCGAGTCTAAAATTTTGGTTTTCAAGTCGAGTCGAGTTTTATTTACCCTTTTTATAAAGTATAAATTATTGAAAAATATATGTGTTTATTTGCAGGATTTAATGTTTGCTATAGTGGCTAATCCATCAAATGCAGTAGAATGGGCGATGGCTCAGAAGCTGAATAAACCCGAAATTCTCCAAAAAGCAACTGAGGAAATCGATAGTGTTGTGGGAAAGAACAGGCGGGTTCAAGAGGCCGACATTCCGAAACTGGACTACATAAAATGTTCTGCAAGGGAAGCTTTTCGTCTTCACCCCATTGCTCCTTTCAACATTCCCCATGTGTCCAACAGTGATGCCATTTTCGCCGGTTACTTCATCCCTGAAGATAGTCATGTGTTCGATGGCCGCCGAGGCATGGATCCGAATGTTTGGAACGAGCCGTTGGAGTTAAAGCCGGAGAGACATTTGAAAGATGATTGGGGGAGTGGGGGAGTTGAACTGGTAGAGAATGAACTGAGGTTCATTTCGTTTGTTGTTGGAAGGCGGGGGAGCATCGGCGCCGGACTCAGGTCCGCGATGAAAATAATGCTGTTTGCGAGGCTGATTCAAGGTTTTACGTGGGATGCGCAGCCAAATGAATCGGAAATTTACCTCTCTAATCGAGAGATAATCTTTTCTTGGCGAAACCGTTGCATGCACTCGCTAAACCTCGATTGCCTGTTGCATTGTATACTCAGCTATAAACCATGGATTACGATGGCGTTTCCAATTGGGTTATATTCATCATGATTACGGTATGAACAGATATTATTATAATTATTGCAAATATCGTGGTTGTGAAATAATAGTTTCGGATAATACCTTTATCACTATATAAAGGCAACATAATAAACAGCTATTTAAATTTTTATTTATAACTTAGTTCCAGGCATTAGATCACAACATGAAATATTAAACCTTTTGTTCATTAATGGTTTAAAACTATTTTAGTGATTGATGAGAAAAATTATTGCAAGTGATTGAAATGTAAGACAAAATATAAATAAGTTTAAAAAGGTAAGGTTTAAAATGTATACTTTAAGTTATTTGTGGCTCGAACTCATAGAAAATGAACTTAATTTCAACTAATATGTCTCAACTTATTTTATAAATTCATTTGCGTTCAATTCATATTTTTAATAATTTTAAAATTGTGTTCATGCTTATTTTTCTAAAATTATGTGTGTTTATTTATTTTTGGTGTTTACATTCACAAATACTAAATGAATATATATCACTAAATACTAAATAAACATGTTTATAAAAATTGAACTAATATGTTTATAAACATTAAGCAAATATATTTATAATGAATATATAGTAATAGTAAAAAATATATTCATAAATAATGAACATATTTCATATTTATTTTTTCAATATAAAATAATCAAAGAAAACATAAATATTAATAGCTATATTCTAAATAAATAAAAATATTTTGTTTAATTGAAATTTAAGTTTCTCGTGGTTTAAATGTTATTTAAATAAAATTTTTCCTTCTAAATTTTAATTTACAATTTTAAGCAATTGCTGCATATGTTGCTCTGATTCTGTTTTAATGGTTAGAGGTTTTTCTTTTTTATATTATAATAATTTTTCTGCTTAGATAATTCAATTTTAAAGATATGAATTTTGAGGTCACAATTCTCAGGTGCACACTATCCATAAATTGCAAAAATTTTACGATTTCCATATGCATGGGTATAATTTCAGTGCTATATTTTTTTGATGTTATTAGTCAGTTAAATTTTTTAAGTTAACTATTTTTATGAACGTGTTCACGTAAATATTTTTTTTAATCATGTTAATTTGATGTTAAAAACTATTTATAAATAAAAAATTAATAAATAATTTAATTTAATAAATTTATGCTTAAAAATATTTTTAGTTATTTTATATCAATATTTTATTGTGAATATTTAATTATATTAAAAAATCAACTAATAACAATCAGATTATGTAAATATATAAGTATATAGATTATACAAAAACCAATTGTATAAAGAGATCATATCAAACTACAAAAAAATGATATTTTACATTATATAATAATTTTTATTCATTAAAATTTATATTATCATCCGTTAAGAATTTGGATTTGATACAAAGAAATACCCTCTACTTAAGAAAATAGTCGAAGAATATAAACTGAGAAAGATGTACTTTTTATTCACTTCTTTATTTTTTAGCTGATGGACAATATTTATATACAGATCTAAGGTGGTAATTACACTCAACAACTCTAACAGATAGGTCTAGCTGGCAAAGCTAGATAACCATACGTACAACTGCTACAAGACTTCTAGAATACTCCAATATCTTTCCTGTCCTTTCCTTCTTCAACCTCTTGAAACGGAAGCACCCCCAATTTTCGTCTGAACAGAACAAGATACTCCTTTGACAATACCTTAGTGAAGCCATCTGTCACCTGATGCGCAGAAGGCACAAAATTCACTTTAAGCTTGTCTGCTATCACCTTTTCTTTCACAAAGTGGATATCAAGCTCCACAAGCTTGGTTTTAGAGTGATACATTGGGTTCGCGCTCATCGCAATCGTGCTCCAGTTGTCACTTCATATGACTGGCACAGCTTCCATAGTCACCCTCATGTCGCTTAACAATTCCTCCAGCCAAGTTGTATCTGACGCTACATCAGCTAGGCTGCGATACTCGGCCTTTGTGGTAGACTGAGATACTATCTTTTGCTTCCTTGATCCCCATATCACCAAGTTACCACTCAAGTAAACACAACTACCAGAGATTGAACGTTTTTCATCAACACTTCCTCCCCAATAGACATCAGCAAAGGCGATGAGTTGAAGATTTTCTAAAGAAGGGAAGAACGCTAACCCGTAATCAAGTGTACCGTTTAGGTATCTCAGCACACTTTTCACTGCCACTAGGTGTTGTTCACAGGGTTTATGCATGAATTGATCCAACTTATTTACACTATAGGCGATATCAGGCCTTGTGAGACATGCATACAACAATGAACCAACCAAGCTGCGCATATGTTAGCACATATGTACTCCCACTACTCCCATGTTTTATAAACAAGGAGTCGTCTGCACGAGACATCCGAAACCCAATACTCATCAAGAAATCTCGCAACTTCGAATACCATCTTCTCGGCGCTTGTCTCAAGCCATACAAGGCCTTTTAACCTTACAGACTAGCACAGTCCCATCTTTTGTCTGCTTCTCAAAACCTTGTGGTTGTTCCATAAACACATCCTCATGTAAATCGCCATTTAGAAAGGCGATATTTATATCAACCTGTCGTAAATTTCATCGATTTCGAGTTGCCAAAGTCAACACAACATTCACTTTGGACAACTTGATTACTGGACTCAGCGTCTCTTGAAAGTACTGTTCATGTGTTTGCGAGTACCCCTTTGCCACAAGCCTGGCCTTGTATCTTTCTATCGTTCCATCCGCGTTTCGTTTGACTCGAAACAACCACTTACACCCCACGACTGATCTTCCTTCTGTCAAAGTTACCAGTGACCAAGTATGATTCTTGATCAATGCTTTATATTCAGCAAGAACTGTTGCCTTCCATACCGGAGATTTAAGAGCTTCATGAACTGAAATGGGTTATATTTCATCATTGCTTTGCACTGCAGTATACAATTTTGGCTTAAAAATACCTCTTTTATTGCGTGTTATCATATGGTGACCATATATACTCACTGGTACCTCGCCTTGACTATCTGTGGGCAAAGCCTAAGTAAGACCTTCATTACCCGAACGTGTCACTTCTTGATCTCCTGAACCAAGCTGTTCATCAGCACCAGCAACACCTTCATTACCAGACTGTGTCACATCTGCATCTCCTGAACCAAGCTGTTCACCAGAACCAGCAACGCTAGAATGAACCAGTGAAGCAGCCTCATTGCGTGTCACAATCGGAATATCACCATTTGGTGACTGCTGAAATGCTCTTTCTCCATGTGACAACTGTCTTGCTAAATTTGTACTTGAACTTGCAGCACCAGGGGTAGGTAATCTAGCCTGACTCCCTTGAAATGGATAATAACCAACGCACATTCTGTTAGCATTGTGACTAAGGGTAATGCTCTTGACAACTTGTTTTGTCCAGTATCCAAATGCACTTGATGAGCTTGACTAGCCAAACCTGCAAACGAAAAACACTCCCCATCAAAGGACACATGCCGAGAAATTTATATTCTACCATCCAATGCCGTACATTGATCATAGAACTGTAACCCAAAAAGGTATACGGTTGTGACCTATAACTCATCTTATGATCTTGTTATGGTCTTAAATGTGGGAAGCATCGACACCCAAACACCCTTAAGTACTCATAATCGGGTTGTTTAGCAAACAAAGCTTCAAATGGAGACTTGCCTTGCAAAACAGGAGTTGGCATTCGATTTATAAGATGGACAGCTGTAGTTACAGCATAAGACTAGAAACGAAATGGCAAGCAGGCTTGAGCCAACAAATCCAAAGCTGACTCGATAATATGATGATGTTTCCGCTCAACTATATCATTCTGTTCGGATATGTGCAGACACGACAACCGATGAACAACACCAAGCGTTTTTAACCACACAGAAACAGGCCTATACTCACCGCCCCAATCAATCTGCACTTCCTTGATGGTTGTATCAAACTGAGTTTTTACCATAGCATAGAACATTTGAAAAGTCTGAAGAACCTGATCCTTAGTTTTAAGCAAATAAACCCTGCAATGCCTTGTACATGCATCAACAAACGATACATAATATCGAATACGATGCTATATGTGAAGGCCCTCATACATCAGAAAATACAAGTTTAAAAGGTTTGTCGTATATAGTTGTAGAAGTTTGAAACAACAATTTATGGCACTTGCCCATTCGACAAGCTACACAAAACGAACTATCAATTTTATTGCTTTACGAATGAAACACCAAACCTAATTGTTTACAAACTTGTACAAGAGTTGATCCACACAGGGACTCTGGTTTTTCTGATTTAGTGGACTTTTTGATTTAGAAGAATATAGAATTTGAGATAAAGATAAAAAAAATAAGAATAAAATAAATAATTAAATATAAATAGTTTAAAATGGAAGATAAACATAGAATAATAAAATAATAAATAATTGTAACCCCTCAGATCGATGCAGGTAACCTGATCCGATCTGGAGTGTCACATTAGGACCACCGAAGCGACCCACTATAAATCTCGAAAATTTAAAACTTTTTATCAGAACATGTAAACTCATAAAATCATTTATCAGTATTCAGAAATAAAATAGATTTTCAGACTCATATATAAAACAAAATACAATTACATGCCCCCTAATCACATGTACCATCTTCTACAAGCAACGCCGGAAGAACTCTCTTACTGAAGTCGATAACTGTACTGGTACAATTCTTTTAACCTGCAATAGTGAGTAATAGAGTGAGCTTCGGAAAGCTCAGTAATACAAAACTACCAGATGATGCTGAAGAACGTGCAGATATAGATAAACATATATTTCCTTATTGGTTCAGATATTTATAGATTTTTAGGCTGAGATGAGATCCCATTGATATCTCAGGTAGTAACATATAATATTTAATTCAGATGGAAATATTTCGGATGTCTAGGTTCGAGAGATCAGAATAGGTTATCTAGTGTGTTCTCGTAAAACTAGTGAAAAGATACAAGTCTTTTTAAAACATATATTTTTTTAAAATCCTAATAATCCCTCCAACCGCTACACATCATAATGTGTAGGTTCCCCAGAACCATA